AAGAACAGAGCCTTGGTTGGGGGTTAATGGATCCATCACATAATACTCCACATAAAATAGAAAGTGGACAAATACATCAAGACAGTCCAAAAAGGAAAAAAAATAAAAAGCAGACAAACCCAAAGGGATAGAGGGAGTATTAAACAGAAAAACAAATCAATGACTTTCAATTTAATTCTCCAATGGTGATGAAAAAAGGGATGGGAAATTCTGTTTCTGCCAGGATAAAGAAAGAAAATTAGACTGGATAAGGTAATCCAGTTGATCTCTTCTGCTCAAGCAAAAACTTCTCTAGATTTTATGTGAACGGTGTGTGCATATTGAGCTTTCAGAAGTAAACATTTACTTTTGATGGTTATGGACAAAAGGACAAACAGATCACATGCGCATATTGAACTTGCAGAAGTAGATATTTTCTTTTGATGATTATGTACAAACTGATAACATGGCGCAGATTGAGCTTTCACTATATATTTACTTTTGATGATTATGGACGAAGAGATTACATTATTACAAATCCAGTTAGGTATGTTTGGATTACGGAAAATGTTATGGGAAAAGAAATAGAAGGCTAAGGAAAGTTTTTTTCTTTTGTTTGTGGCTGTCTGGATCTCAGAAAATGTTATGGGAAAAGAAGAGAAGGCTGGGGAAAGTTATTTTTTCGTTTGGCTTTACCTTTGTATAAGAAATAGAAGGCTAGGGAATGTTATTTTTTGTTTGGTTTTACCTTTGAGAATACAAAGTAAAATGGGTTTTGGATATTTATGTTTCTCGGTCTTTATATAGCAGAAAGAGATAAATAAATAAAATTGGTTTGAACATATGTCAAAAAAAATGCCAAAAACAGGTATCTCGCCAATCAAAATCATCATCACTAAACACAGGACACTTGTGAAAAAAATCAAGAAAAAGCGATGAATTATGATAGCAAGTTAGCAACTAACCTTCATGCCACTGCAAAACTTCGAAGCCTGTCGCAGTGAGGAGTCGGGTAATTCCGATTCCATTGCCGCCTTTGAAGTTCTATATGACAGTAACGACCAATCACATTCTTGTAATCCCTTACTACACGGTCCTCCATTTTAACCCGAACAGCACTGCCAGGAGGGTAGTCCTGGTCAAAGTCAGCCGATTTGACAAAGTACTCTACTCCATGTTTCTCTGTCATCTTCCTGAACTGATAGGAGTAACCCTTCTGCAGAGAATACTCAGGCTCTGAAAACGGGATATAAGCAAGCAAGATGATCAGCAACAATGGCAGCATCTGGAGGAGGATGAGGAAGTTAGGGCCAGATCCACCTGAATCTTCTCTTTGGGCTGGGCCGGGAGCTCTAGTCCGATAAGCGTGAGCTGTTCTAAACAAGTCAGAGTGACCAAAGAATGCCCTGAAGATCTCATCAGGATCAAAATTATCATCGAAAATATCATTCCCGGTTCTCCTCCTCCTTTGCCTAACATTATTATACTGTTCATGATGTTCAAACTGGTCAACAAACCCTGTCAGATCATACTGCTTCCTCAACTCATCATCACTCAAGCACTTAAATGCCTTGGAAACAGTCTTAAATGCCTCCTCAGCACCCGGTGCCTTATTCTTGTCTGGATGAACTTTCAAGGACAACTTCCGATAAGCTTTCCTGATCTCATCAACCGAACAACTCTTCTCCACGCCAAGGATTGCATAATAGTCCCTTTCCCTCTTGATTTTCCTAATCAACTGCACATTCTCTTCAGTGTAATTCAAACTCCCATTTGAAGCCTCATTCACCTTGGCTTTATCCCTCTCATCCTCTGTATTGCAGACATCTCTTTCGCTTCTCGGAGCACCTCGATCCGAGGAATCGATGCTTTCACATGCAGCAAGAAGATCATCCACAGGTAAATTCTTATTAAGCCGGCGTGCGATTTTGATGAATTTCAAAGCTTTTTCTTTATTCCTAGATGCAATTGCTTCTTTAGCGATGCCAAAGCACCTCAAAGCTTCTTCCTTGTTACTCTCCATCTTAATAGAAGATTCACATAAATGATACTGAATAACTTCAATTAAAAACCCTAACTTTCTTCTCAAAACCTAACCCCTGGAATCCCTCTATTGTTGTCAGACAAAGCAAAATCGCACTCCGCATTACCCAGCAAAATCAATGATTTCCTGCTCGCCGAATCTAAACAACACAGAGGGAGAAATAATCACTCAAATTAACAACGAATCAGGAATTCTTAGCAGCGGGAGTGAACAAAACAGAATCTGAAATATACAATACATGAAGAAAAAAATTGATAGGATTTAAAATGTATTATGAAAGCTAAACTCTGAACTTTCAAAAAGACAAAAAAATTTAAACCAATAATTTAAAAAATTGTTCTTACCTGAACAGAATCGAATCCGGCGAATGGCGGAGACGGGAGAGTCATACTCAGTGTTTGGGATTTGGCACCCAGTGCTAAAGGTACGACAATATGTATTCATTTTAAGTACATCCCACAAATATTCATTTTAAGCAAAAAAAAAAAACAATCTTAGAGTTACATCAAGAAATATACGGAGTATCTTAAATTGTATCCGAAAGGGAATGTACTGTCATTTTAATTATTCAGATTGATACAAAATGTTAGTTCAATTAAAGAATTTTGTACTGGCATTTTGTGTCATTGCAAAGCACCACACTAGCATAAAATATTAGTGCATACCTTCGGGGTACAATTTTTGTTGTACAAATATCACTTCCCAAGAAAAATGTTTATTTCGCAAAGATGAGAATTTTGATATTATTTTCTATTTTTGTCCATACTTTACAATAAGATAAGACATGATTGATGTATAGGATAAATGAGTCGAAATTAGAAAATAATACTCGGGATATCAAATTTCTACATTTTTAGAACGCGGCTTTTTCGTTTAAAAAAATTTCATGGGACGGAGGAAGTATATATGTTTTTTATTTCAATTGTACCTGCATAAATTGTTCATTTGCGAGGAGGATAATACTGATTTTCGCACGTTTGCAAATATGTGTATATATATTTCAACAAACATAAATTTTCAATTCTCCAACGGATGGTTGAACAATTGACAACTCGGAGTTATGGTGACCTTCAGGTCATGGGTTCAAATCATGCCACCTGCTGGGACTCCTAGGATCTTAATCTGCAAACTCGGTCAATCAAGATTAGTCGGATTTCGTCAAAGGCGAGTTCGAAACACCTGTAGTCTAACAAAAAAATATAATTTTTAATTTCAATTATATAAAATGTTCATTTGCAAATAATATAATATTCATATAAGAAATACCTATAAGCAGAACACCAACACTTCTATCCTCTTAAGCAGACCAGCATAATCGCTCATGTCTCACATAAATAAGAACCTATTTTTTGTTTTTTTATTTAAAACTTTCTTAGATTATGCAAAACCAAATCATGCAATATAGTTTTGATGGAGGGAGGTGATATTTATCCATCAATAATTTAAAAATAGTTTGCTTTTTAACAAAGTTTACATAATCTCTAGTACAATGTATTTATTTGTATAAAAGAATGCCACTAATTTTTTATGTTAAAAAGAAAGGAGAAGAAAAAAATGACTTACCTAGATACTTATCATGGATCTACTTTTTTTTTCAATTATGGAATGATGAGTGAAGTTTAATTTACTCTTAGAATGCCACAAAGTTAGCTTCAAACTCAAGGGTAAAATTGTCTATTCAAATATTCAAACTTAACTATTAATAATTTTAAAAATACAATAAAGCTTAGATATTCTAAACTGCATACTGTTTTGCGACAAAAACAGATATATATGTATCTCCCTGCACAAACACCATATATGTTTATGTTTATCTTTAATATATGCAAAGTGACGTACAACTTGAAATCGACTTTTTCTTCTGTAGTTCTAAGATCCAAATGTAAAATATAAACTTTTTCACACATTTCATGAACCGATAAATAATTTTTTTGCAAAAGCTTAATCTTTTATAATAATAATGTACTAAAATCTTTAAAATACAGTAAGCATAGACTAATTTCCACTTGAAATCTCCCTAGCATCACATTTTAAAAATGAAAATAAAAATACGGGTAAATTCTATAATTGGTCCTTTATAACAGGGGGATTTTCCTATTTAGTCCTCTATTATTAAATATTACCCAAGTGGTCCTTCTTTTATGAGTACCTTTCCACAAATAGTCCTTTTTTGATCTTCTATCATGTTGGTGTTAATTTGAGGGCTAAAAGTGTAATTTCACAATGATAATATATCTTTTTTGTCATACACAATTCCAAAGGCTGTTCCGTTTGCGTCGTTTGTGAATTACAGTCGCTTTTTACGACAACTATAGTCTACAAATGTGATCTTTCGTCAGAATCCTAGCCCATAATCGTAGTCATTATTTTTGTGTTATCCGCTTAGCCAATATTAGAACACGTCACTAGACATAATGTTGACGTCAAATTATAGTCTTAGCCTTTAAATTAACACAAACACGGCAGAAGATAAAAAAAGGTAGAAATCATCCTAAATAGGACTAAAACATAGAGAAAAGTACCAAAATAGGACTTTCATGTTTTTTTTCCCGGAATAGGTGGTAATGTGACTTTGCATTGCGGTAATGTGGCAGTGTACATGTGCAAATTACTATACTTTTTTGGTAATGTATATGACCATGTTTGGTAATGTAAGTCCTATTTCGGGAATAAAAACATGGAAGTCCTATTTTGGTATATTCTCAATGTCTTTCTCCCAAAAAAAGGAACATTTGTGGAATGGTACCCTTAAAAAAAGGACTACGAGGGGTAATATTTGATAATAGAGGACTAAATATGGAAACCCCTGCTATAAAGGACTAATTATAGAATTTACTCAAAAATAAATCGAAAGAATATATTCACGGGTCAATAGATTTTTAAATGTCTCTTTTTAATCAGAGTTAAAATTTGAAAAGATGGATTGTTTGCTTGCATTTACCACCTATAGATACAGATATACAGATACAGATGCAATTTCTCTGTCTGGAAGGTTAAAATTGATCCCTCCATTATCTTCATCTTCTCTTCTATCAAGTTTCCCATTGGTTTAGGGTTTTGCTGCCCGCCTGATCCGTCGTCAATGGAGGAGACCGGACTGAAAATGGTTTGAATTCTGCACAGATGTCTGTATGTATTTCGCGTGAGCGTGTTTTATGTTTAAGCGTTCGGGCAGGTTTCGGCGCTGATTCGGGCCGCGTCTCATGTGCATTTTGCATGTTTGAAGGATTGAAAGATTGTTTCTTGTTCGTTTCTGGGATTGATCGGGAGTTTGTAGGTTCTTGGGATTGAATTCTTGCGTGAATGCGTGGATCTGGTATCGACTTTCGCCCCCTTGGTACGTTGCTTTTTCTTTACGGATCGAATTTTGGGCAGTGTGGATTGGATTTGGGACTGGAAATGTGATCCATTTGTTTTTATTTTCTGGGGGAGGGCAGTGAAGAACAGATCTTGAAATTGGCTCCCCAACGCAGGTCGCAGCGCCCCATGGGTGGCCAGATGCAGCAGAGCAATGCGGCGGCCACTGCTCTGTACGATCACCCGGGCAATGCCGCTGGCCCTGCAGGCGATGCTGGAGACGCTGTCATGGCTCGTTGGCTTCAGTCTGCGGGGTTGCAGCATCTGGCTTCTCCCTTGGCCTCCACCGGGGTCGACCACCGCACACTCCCTAACATCTTGATGCAGGTAATGATCTATATTATGTTGAATCTGGTCTGGGGAATTTGATTGAATCTATATAACAATGACACTGGTATAATCTGGTATGGGGAATTCGACTCCATGCTGGATGGCTCTTAATGCCTATTGAGTTGGTATAGTTTTTGTTGGACCAGTTCAGCTACTTCATGTGATTCAGATCCCTTGAAACTTTTATCCTTCACTTCTTATTTATATATCGGGCATGTCCAGATAGACATTAATGGTGTGGGCATTTAGATGTTTGTTCCAGAAGTAGTTTTTCCTTTCCGGTATTGTTTTTCTCAAGCAAACCATGTATCTTTTTGTCTACCTTCATTTATGAGTGATGAGTAAAATTAAAGATGATGAAATGCATGTTCCTGGAATGTGGAGTGTGGTTTTAGCATGGTAACTATTTTTAATCCAAAGTACTCCGTATAATTTTTATAATGCAATGCATGTTCCTGAAATGCAAGTTTTGGACTATGTTTCAGGGGTATGGATCACAGTCTGTGGAAGAGAAACAAAGGCTTTTAAGATTAATGAGGAACCTCAATTTTAATGGTGAATCTAGTTCTGAATCTTATATCCCAACTGTGCAAAGCTCCGGAGGTATTGGCATTCCAGACGGCCTTTATTCACCAGAACTCAGAGGAGACTTCGGTGCTGGACTTTTGGATCTGCATGCTATGGATGATACGGACCTCTTATCAGACGTATAAAACTCTTCTCGACTTAGTTTTTATTACTGGTTATGAAGTTTCTCTATGATCAGATCCAAAACTGGGTGCATTAATAGGATGAGTTTCTGTTTCATACTCCCTCCCTCCCAAACTTAACTTCCCGTGTAAAAATAGTGAAAAATATTGTTTATTTGAGAAATACTGTTCCCTCCTTAAATAATCATCCATTTTTCCTTTTATGGGCGCCCCAAAGTAATCTCCACTTTCCTTATGTGGCCAAAAAATTTCTCTCCTCTCATCAAATTATAACCACTCCTTTTTCACCTTTCAACACTTTTCTTAAACTCCGTGAAAGTCAAACAAGGAAGTTTATTTAAAGATGTTGGGAGTATTAGATAAGTCAAAGTAGAACTTATGTGGGTAGTTGAGGGGTAAAAGTGTCTTTTCAATTATTCAAATTTTCTAAAAGATAATTTTGGGACATCCAAATATAGTAAGTGGCATGATAATTTTGGGACAGAGTGAGTATTTAAGACTGTTGGAGCCCCCCATTTCTAACCTCATGTCTTGCTAATTGATTGTTGCTTTCATTTCCACTCCAGAACGTCATTTCTGATTCATTCGAGCCATCACCTTTCATGCCTGCCGTAAACAAAGCACTGTATGGTGACTTTGATGTGCTGAATGGTTTGCAACAGAAATCACACGTAGATTTAGATGCTTCAACTGGAATTACAGGAAATGAATTAGAAACTAATGCAAGGGAGAACAATGTGGCAAAGATCAAAGTAGTGGTATGTTACTATGTTCATTGGGTTAAATCCCCCTTGCCCACTTTTGTGTGTAGCAATTTGGGTTATGTTCTTATTTGGTGAATGCTCTTTTCATTTATTTTAGATGCTCCTTAAAGTTTTCATGTCATTTTAATTTTAATGAATTGATGATATCTTCTTCAGGTGCGCAAAAGACCATTAAACAAGAAGGAAGTTTCTCGTAAAGAAGATGATATTGTTACTGTATCATCAGACAGTAGTTGCCTCACTGTGCATGAACCCAAACTCAAGGTATCGTTTCTCTTTGGAACTCACAATAAATACTCATGTCATATTCTGCTGTGGGGTTTCAGTGTGAAAGAGTAAGCGCTTCACTTTGTAAGCAACTGACATTTTTTTAATTGAAGGTTGACTTGACTGCTTATGTGGAGAAGCATGAGTTCTGCTTCGATGCTGTACTGGACGAGTATGTGACAAATGATGAGGTATCAATTTTGAACTATCTTTGACATGCCTTTAGCCCTTTGGTTGGAGGGCTTCGTAGGTTTTTTTGGGGGGGGGGGGCAATGGAGGAGTTTTGTGTGTTTGGTTGGGGAAGTCAGTCAGAAGATGAGAAAAGGAAAGAGACTATTAACACCTCCAAACTCTTCATAGCTTTCACTCCCCCAATTGTGAGTTTGAAGTTGTACTTTCTCCTTAATTTCTTTTTCACCTTTTTAAATTGAAATTATCCTATATTATTAATCCTATAGATGTCGATTACTACTCTCCTTGTCCCTAAATAAACCTCAGTTTCACTACTCACAATGTCAAAGTATATCTTCTTTCAACTGTGTAATCAGTTGTTACAATAGAGTAGTCAAGTCTATTTTTGTTAATAGAACTTTTGATGTAGTTTTTAAGTATATACTTTCCTTGTCCTTGAATTAAGTTATCGCTTTCCTTTTTGGAACATCCTAAAATGTAGTTCCCTTTTCCATTTAAGGAAATTTTTTTGTAGTTCATATGTTTTCTCTTTCCTCAAATTAATTTTAGCCACACTTTTCACCCTTCAACAACACCTCCACGAAAGATAGAGTGGAAACTTAATATTGGGACGGAGGGCATAGTTTTATTTTTTTAAAATTTTACATCATTATTCAAATTACTTGGATTGGAAGTAACTTTTGCCAAGCATCATTAACCAAATAGTGAAGTTTAAAATGGGACGGATGGAGTATATTTTTATTTACCACTTAAATTATATCACATATAGCATTTTTATAATCTGTGTGTCTCTTAAACAATACTCTATAGTCTATCCTCATCCTCCACTGTTTTGGACTTAACATCTTTTTCAACAGTTTCATATTTCTCCCGTCCCCTCTTTCATGCAGTCTCCATGTGCTTTCCTGTGCTGCTCTTATTATCTTCCATTAGTTTTATTCATGCTTCATGCATTTCATTGCAGGTGTATCGTGCTACTGTGGAACCAATCATTCCAATTATTTTTCAGCGCACAAAAGCTACATGCTTTGCTTATGGTCAAACTGGTATGTAGAGTTATCTTTGACCACTGCTTGCTGCACACCACATCACCACAGATTCTTGACATGTTTATTGAAAGACTTTTTAAATCCGTGACCCTTCTGGAACAGGAAGTGGTAAGACATATACCATGCAACCCTTACCTCTTAGAGCTGCAGAAGACCTTGTTAGATTGTTGAACCAGCCAAGCTATCGTAATCAGAGATTCAAGTTGTGGCTTAGCTATTTTGAAATATATGGCGGAAAACTTTTTGATCTTCTCAGTGACCGGAAGTTAGTATCTGCATTCTTTTTCTTTTTATTCTTTTACTCCGTAATTTTCTCCCTGTCCCGACATAGATTCCAAATGAAATGCAACTAGTCAGTATGTGAAGCTCTAATTAGCAGTTTCCACCTCGCCTGCTTATGATATCAACAATGCTGTTGTTTCTTACTCTCTCCCATCCCCAAATGGAATCCTGTTTAGATAAGGTTTAACTTCTTTTGGGAGAGTATAACTAATAAAAGTCATGTAGAATTTTACTTTTGAAGATATACTTTGTTGATTAACTAACTTTATCATATAGAAGTTTGTATCCCTTTTTCAGTAAATTATAATCTGTATGCTTTTAGGACAAAAGTGTATGAAACAGTACTTGGAAGAAAGGAATAGGTGTTTTTAACCTTTCTTCTTCTGATCAATTGGCTTCTTATATAGTCTAAATAAATCTATGTTTTGGAGCATAATTTTCTTGCTAATGACAGTTTCAAGCTAGAATGAAAGGACCGTGTGGTGAACAGCGCTACAGCTCTAACTAACAACTTGAATTGCATGCAGGAAACTATGTATGAGGGAAGATGCGCGGCAACAGGTTTGCATTGTTGGATTGCAAGAGTTTGAAGTTTCTGATGTGCAAATAGTAAAAGAGTATATTGAAAGGGGAAATGGTGCAAGAAGTACAGGGTCCACCGGTGCTAATGAGGAATCGTCAAGATCACATGCTATACTACAGCTTGCTGTCAAGAAACACAACGAGGTAAAAGAATCTCGCCGAAATAATGATGGAAATGACTCCAAGGGTGGAAAGGTGGTTGGGAAACTTTCTTTTATTGACCTTGCTGGTAGTGAAAGAGGGGCCGATACAACTGATAATGACCGACAAACAAGGTGACAATTATTGCACTAATCACACCCAATTTATATGGTTCAACTTTAGACTAAATTTTAATGCTCATGATGGAAGTCGATCAACATGTACAGTTTAACATCTGCATGTGTATTATTTTTCTGCTACTTTGCTACATTAAGGCCACATTTTATTGTAGGAAAATAACTTGTTGCTGAAAGTGTTTTTCCTGTAAATGCTTTTCTGGAAATACGTTGCGCTATGTATAGTACTCCCACCGTCCCAAATAAAAGACATAATTACTATTCACATGGTCAAACTATATCTTCTTTCTTTATATGTTTTCATCAATAATTTGGCCAAATAATAGTAAGGTCACTTCCTGTTTTGTAGAACTATTAATTTAGTTTTAAATATATAAATTTAATTTTCTACTTCTACACTATTTTATAATAAAATGTATTGAAAAAAAATTCAGTCAACCATCGTAAACCAAATTGTTTTATTTTGGGACCGAGGTAGTGCAATTTCTTATTCTTTTTAAGACTATTTTAGAATATTTTCTAGAGATACATTGCTCCATTTCACAGAAAAGCTCAAAGAATCATACTCCGTGGAATATTTTCTTGTGCCAAACACAAGAAAAAGTGAAAACAGGAAAAGTTTAAAAACATTATAGAGCAAAATGCTTTTCTGAAGAGCAGATGCTAACACTATCAAATTTGAAATTGGAACCATGATGTACTCAAAAGGTTGTTTCCAAACTTTATTGCACATCTTAAACTAAGCAGACATGGCAAAGTTTTAAGCTAATACTTGTTTATAGCAAATTACTAGCAGTCTAGCACTTTCCTCCTGATAGCTTGTGGAGAAAAAAAAACACTTTTTTCCCGCCATCCTTCTAACCTTCTATTCTGGACAGAGCTGATCTTATTGTCTATTCTCCTTGAATTATTTTGCTTCACCGTATTCCAAGATTGGCATATTTCCCTTCAAATTTTCTTATGTTTCACCTTGTGAAGATAATCTTTAGTACATTTCAGGATCGAAGGAGCAGAAATTAACAAGAGCTTGTTGGCTCTCAAAGAGTGTATACGTGCTCTTGACAATGACCAGATTCATATTCCATTTCGAGGGAGCAAACTAACGGAAGTGCTTCGTGACTCCTTTGTTGGAAATTCAAGGACTGTTATGATATCCTGTATCTCTCCAAATGCTGGTTCTTGTGAACACACACTCAATACATTAAGATACGCCGATAGGTGTGTCTTTATTTAGGATGCGTTCCATACTTTACTAGTATAAAAAATCCATTTTAGTCCCTCAGTTGTTTGATGTTATGCAATCTAGATCCCTTTCAGGTTTTGTAAGTTTATTCCCTCAATTGTTATAAATGAGATACAATTAGTCTCTCATTTACTATAAATGAGATACAATTAGGCCCTCTTGTTAAAAGCACCCTCTACTATTAAGTATAATGGGGGGACATTCCTCACATTCCATAAGAGTTTAATGAGAGGGACAGATTGTATCTGAAGTTGTTAGTGGGAGTAAATTTGCAAAGTTGAATACAGCTTCCAGGTTATATAATGTCAAATTTTTGGAAACTAAAAAAGTGACTTCTCCACCCTACCCCACCCACCCCACTAGTTGGCGCCTTTAGCTGATTGCATATTTGAATAACAGGGTTAAAAGTCTCTCAAAAGGCGGAAACACGAAGAAGGATTCTGGCACCAGCACATTTCCTCTAAACAAGGATAATTGTTCAGCTCCATCTTTGCCGGTTTCTACTGAAGATGAAGATATCTTTGATCAGCTCCAAGAATCTAAAATACCCAGTATGAGTAGAAGGGGTTTGGAGAAAGAAAGATCATACTACAATTTCTCTAATGAATCTGATAAACAACCTGCCAGTTTCTCTTCTGGTGCCAATGGGAGTGACAGGTTTGAAGGGAAGAATGCTTACTCGGGCCCACCTAGTGGTGTGGAAGAGAAGGCACAAAGGGTGTCTCCGCCTCGGAGGAGAGCTACAAGGGATGAAAAGACTGAAATACCTGAAAAGCCGGGAATTTCGTCTAGAAAAGATCTTTCCAACCCTGATTTTCCCAGTAAAGGTTCTAAAGATATTGGATCAAAACAGGATTCGCTTCCACAGGATGATAATATCAATGAAATACTAGAGGTTAGTGATAATCCTGCAAAAAAATGAAGCATATGTGCTCTTAAATTGATGTGGAATTTACTTTGATGTTCTCTATTTATTGTTATTATAAAAAGGAAGAAGAAGCTTTGATTGCTGCCCATAGAAGAGAAATTGAAGACACCATGGAGATTGTCCGCGAAGTGAGTTGGTTTCTAAATGCCAATATTTACATTTTTATTCTGCGAACTATCATCATTATAATCATCAACACTTTAATCCCAAAGCCACAACTATGTTAGGAGTAGTTTAATGTAGGCTGCATAATCTATATAGTAATGCTAGAGGACCGCCATGGATTTTACCACATGAATCACTCAATCACGTAGATTAAGTGAAAACTGAGTTATTTGCATTTATGAAGAGAATAGAGAAAATAATATGAACTTCATAATGCTTTATATTAATGGAAACAAGCTTGATAAATTAGGATGAATAAAAAGGTGGAAGAGGTTTGATAAATTCAGACATAGGAAGCATATATTTATATACATTATAAGGTTACCTGCTCATTAATGTACAGATAACATGGTAATCTCGGTGTGTAATCCATATGGTAGCAAAGTATTATGCTGAATTTGTTTCATGTCCCAACCTTTTAAAAGAGTAGGATGAGAACTTTTCCAAAAGGATTTGGATTCTCCCTGTTGCAGTAGTGCTCTGTTAAAAATGTTGTCGAAATAAGTTCACATCATGTAATTATAAAATCTTTTCACGTTTTACGGTAATGTCACCATTTTCAGCCACAAATTCTGGTCCTTTTTCAACTTTTCTCATGGTTTATGTGACATATTGCCAGAATAAGTAGTCCTTGACTTGTTCAGCTATAACTAGTGTTTACGAAATGATTGTTCTTTTAGAAAAAACCGATTCTACCATTTCAGCCAAATGTAACCTACTAAATATGTCATGAGCTGAATCCATTTCAAAAGCCCCATCATTATCATCATTGTTCTTTCCAACTTGCACGAAGATCATCCTGATTGCTTTTCTTTTTTTTGCAAATATCATCAGGAAATGAAACTGCTGGCAGAAGTAGATCAGCCTGGGAGTCATATTGACAATTACGTTTCCCAGTTGAATTTTGTTCTCTCCCGGAAAGCAGCAAGTCTGGTCAGCCTCCAAGCCAGGCTTGCAAGGTTCCAGCACCGGCTTAAAGAACAGGAAATTCTTAGTAGAAAGAGGCCACCCCGCTAGCAAGCTGGTTGGTTTTCTCTTTTTTTTCCTTTGTTTCTCAATTTGGTCATATGTAATATTATACAGAATGTTTGAAGGATGTAATAGGGCTTGTCTGTAGTTTCATGCTTTATGTGTACCCAGAATGACCATCCATCTGAAATCATCCAGTGTACAATCAAAGGGAAATTATGCAGTCTTTGTGGAACAAACCACTGGGGAGAGTGTTCATATTGTTCTTGAAACATCATAGGACACAACAGCTAGAGTGCTTTTTTTTGTTTTGTTTATACAATGCGAGAGACTAAATTCATGCCGTTCACCAAAATTTGTTAAATCCACTTCCCAGATGACAAATACTCAGAAATATTGTATCAAATTCTTATTATTGGAAGTGAACTTAGCAAATTTGGTTTGAGCTTTTGACCGAGTGAATGGAATGAAAGTATGTCTTATTGATTGATTTGCAAGACCCCCCCCCCCCTCCACATACAGTGACACAAAGTATGCTGCATTGCAGTTCAAGATCTTAGGACGTTACATCATTGAAAATCCAAGAATATATATTTAAAAAAATGTGGGGATGGTTTTGTTAAACTGGTTCATGATTTATCCAGTGGAATTAGCATGTTGCACAAAAAAAGACAAAAAATTACTCTGGAATATTCTCGATTTTCTGATAATAACTTTCAGATCTCACATTATTTGAAATATATTTTGGGATACCCTTGATTTTCTGGTAAGAAATCCCAAGTCTCATTTCATCCAAAATATACTTCAGGAGTCCTTAAAATTTGTGGTAATGTACATTGATGGTATATTCCGTCTATTTAGCCGTTATGATTGAAAGTCCTATTACTTCGACAAAATACTACGGAGTAAATTTTACATTTATAATCATTATTTTGTTAAATTTAAATAAATATGTCAAAGAACTTTTAATCTAACTCTTAAATTGAGAGAATGTACCTTTTGAATATAATATCACAAATTTTAAAGATCCTGAAATATATTTCGAATAATGTGAGACTTGAGAGTTCTTACCAAAAAATCGAAAGTACCCCGAAGTATATTTCGTAATATGAGATCTTAGAGTTATTACCAAAAAATTGAGAGTACCTAAAAGTAATTTTTTGCAAAAAAAGAAGTCATTCTTACCAAAAGAGATGCATGAAACTCATAAAACCTATCTCCTCCATTGATATCAACAATGGCCTCACAATTAAAGAGGTCACCATACTGAAACAGCATCATAGAAAGATTTGTGTTTTGCAGTTTTTATTTGTATGTTATTATCATTTCAATAAAATAAATCCCATTGAATTAATCCATCTTACAATCTCTTGCACAATAGTTTGACTTGCACAATTCTTACATAATTAGTTTCTCTGTCCCACAAAAATGTTTCTTTTTTCTTCATGTATGTCCCAAAAAACATCATATGGACTTGGTCCTTTCATATAGCCATCACTAGAAATGAATTTTACAAAACCCACCACTAAGTAAAAACTAATAAAGCAGCAATTAGACACTATATTTTGGCACATCTAAGTATCAAACAACAGCCAATACATATGGAAAGCAATCTACAAAGAACACATCTAACTCGATCAAAACTGGCATCCGATCTTTGAATCATTTTGGCACTCTAACACTACGTTTGGTTCAAGGAATTTGGTAGAAAAAGAAAAGAAAATGATTTTCCCTCATTTTCCTCACCAAAATGGAAGGAATTTGGTTTTCTTTCCTCTTAATACATTTTGCCTTCTCTTTTTCTTTTCCTTTCACTTTTCTTTTCTTTTCCTCTCTAACCAAACAAGAAAAATATTTTCCTTCTCATTTTCTTTTCTTTTCCCTCTCAAATTCCTTGAACCAAACATAGTGTAATCCATCCGGGGATTAAAAGAAAGCACACATGAAGTTTGATCATTCAGCTTTCAACCTCAAAATCTCCTTTGCAGTCCTCGACCGAAAATAAGCCATGTGTTCCTACAAGCGAAATGAAGCATAGTTCAGGTATTGAAGCTCGCTAAGTTATTGAAACTTGCAGAACCCAAACAACAAACGGACATAAAATAAAGCATAACATATACTAGTAACAAAGAGTCCTCTTCCAAACACGTCTTTTTTTAAAAAAAAGAGCCACATTCTTTTGGAACAATAACGTGTCGCGTTTGATCAAATATTATGTACTTAAAGAACTATTCATGGTAAGGTACCCATAAATGAAATGAAAGATCACAAACATAATACTCCGTATTTCATAATAGAGGACTAAATATGGAAAACCACAAATTTGAAAACCAATTTGGCCCCGTTTGGTACACGGAATTCAAACTATGGAATTGGAATTGAGGACTTCAATTCCAATTTTGGTGTTTGGTAGCACAAAAATTATGTGAATTTGGAATTGATAGTGGAAAAAATGAAATGGAATTGATGAATTCAATTCTATGGAATTGAATCCCATGGAATTTCAATTCCAATTCAATTCCAATTCCATCAATTCCGTATACCAAACGGACCCTTATAGAATTTACCCAAAATATTTCTTTTTTAAAAAAATCAGTCGATCGTTGATGTGAAAATTGCCGAGGTAAAATGATCTGGGACATATATTGGAAATGAAGAAATAACAATGAAACTTATTCTGTAAGAGGTTAAGATATTGACATATATACAATGAATGTGGAATTCTGTGTTTCTCATTATTACAACACAGCCGGATGCTCTCTCCAGAAACTCAATCACATCCTTAACTGTTTGACAAGGTTTAAATATAAAATTTAGATTCTCTGTGTGTGTGTGCACGCACACACACAGCGTCAACTCCAGTGAGATGACGCAATGTGAGCCAATCAAAAGCAAGTTATATGGTTCTCCCTTCCCATGTACTCCCTCTGTCCCAAAAAGAGACTTCTCACTTCCTTTCCAGGACGTCCCAAAACAAGATTCCTCTTTCCAGTTTTAAAAAACTTTTTGTGGCTCAATCTTTCTCTCACCTCTGAATCACTTAGAACCACACAATTTAACTTTTCTTAAACTTTGTGCCAAACCAGAGGAATCTTATTTTGGGACGGAGGGAGAATTCAAAAATCGGGTATCCAGTTTCCAAACTTGATTGCCTCCCCCCTCCCCCCAAACCCCACCAAGTAAAGAGTGTTGAATAAATTTAGTACAACATGGCTTTTGAAGAAAAATAGTCCCTATGTCCCGGTGTATTTGTCCACTTTCTTTTTTCGCAAATGGACCAAGGAAAAGGAAAACAAAGAGAAGAAGCCACTTTATTTCTTAAAGTGAAAGTGGCTAAATACACTAGGACGGTCTAGAAAGGTATACTAGATAAATACATTGGGACGAGGGAGTAATTAGCATGATGTTACCTGACTAAAACAGAGCCCTATATTTCTGCTATAGAAATCAGCATACTTAATCATGAACATGCCACAATCATACCTGATAAGAAAACAAAAACAGCCATACGTGCCAAATCAGATTAAGCAAACCCAAATAACAGATGATAGAGGAGGCTTTATTATAAAGGTATGACTAAATCAACTGAAACTTTCTGAAGAACAAAGAGAATCTGTCATTAAGTCAGGTGCATCAGTGCATATGTTGAGGACAGGAATTATGAATGGTCTAAATATGGTTGACTTTTATGATATGGAAAAAATATGTATCACAAGATATTTCGGGCATAAGAGAAAATTGTTTACACCCACTCTGAAATGGTTGAGAAAAAACTAATGCCTTCCATAAAACTCCGATTGAGCCTATAGAGCATAATAATAGCCTCTGCTGGTATGCTTGAACAATGTATGGAGACATATCCAAATGCCATTCTAACAATAATCTTATTTTCAATGCAAAATCATGCCACTTTGGCATTAAGAGAAAACTAATCATGAATCAGCCATTTTTATGATAATGGAATATTAAGTCCAACTAAGCACAGAAATAGAGTAGCACTTCTCTAGTTAGAAATTGAACAATGAATTTGCTTTGTAAGAAAATAGGTGATTACATGCAGGTATTTTCATCTGTAAAAATGTGATGTCATTTGACGAACTAATTAACTTCTGTACAAATATGATGTCATTTGACAGACTAATTAACTTAAGGAATCCAGCTTGCTAGATAACTGACAATGATTAACTTAATAATGTGATCGCTAATAAGGAAGGTTCTAAATAACCAATTATTTTAGGCATACACACCCATTTTGTTGCTCAGGAAGCTCTTCAACAAATTCCATTTCCCATGTACTAACATCAATGTCCTCACCATTTTTGTCCTTTACTTCATCTACATAGTATCTAGCCTGCAGAAGAATGCACATATAATAGATACCCTAGGAGAATGAAATCCTGTTTTAACTTTAAGAAATAAACCCAACCCGTTAACCTACACACAGTCACACATACAGTCATCTTTCTCTTTTGTGATCATGACAGATTATGTATGAGCAAGGACTGGCAGTGGAGAAAAACTCTTTATGAAAAAAATCCTACTTTGAAATTACTTACTAGTATTTGCAGCACTTGATTATCTCGTCCCCTTAGAGAATCAAGATACTGGAACTTTTTGTCCTTCTTGTTGATGACAGCTAAGCACCAATGTACTTCTTTGTGAATGGGAACAAAAATCTAAGTATTTAGTACAAAGGTTAGTTCCCACTTGTGATTTCCAAATAATATAAGGAATATTCCAATATGAGATTGAAAAATAAATTACTTTGTCACATTCAAATAGGCCATATCCCAATTTCCGTTGAGAAGTCCATCTTCGTACAGATTGATAGTTGTAGTTAGTCTTCCCACTTTTTAACTGATCATTAAAAATAGAAAATCAAGAAGGAACAACCGCATAAAACCATGTCTTCGTAACATTAGAGACCAAGTTTAATGTGTGACTGCAAACACTGATATTAAATATAAACCAAGGAGAAGCATATATGATATGAAGCAGTATAAGTAGGTTTCATTAAATTCAACAAGGGTACCTTGCTAGAATAGTAGAATTAAAATTTGCACTTGACCCAACAGGACACTTTTTTGAGGGATGGATGGAGTACTCAATAAAAAAGCTGGATCTATCAAAATCGGTACTAGCCAAGAGTCATATAAAAGGATAGGAATGGCCTAGTATTTTCTAGAAACAAAGCAAAATTGTTGATGTGTGAATACAGTTGAAGAACAGATTAGCCTGAGGCAATACTATTTAGGTCTAAGATATTATGTACTTATATAGTAAATTTAGGCCATAAATTTGAGAGGATGATAGTACCTTTTTGTAGAAGAAGGTGTTAAAGAAATGACATTTCAGGAATTTTTTGGGCTCCCTGGTCTCTCTCTCTTTTAGCAACTCAAGATATACATTAATAACCTGCAAATAATAAGATTCAAGGAAAGAACTAAATTGAGAATTTCTACCTTTGTTATCTGTTAGTTGGAAAAATGAAAAAAATTCCAAATGTGAAGTACCCAAAATTAATAGCATCACCTCATCATTCAGCCATTTCCCTGGTTTCAAACACTGTAATAAAATCCCAGTAATATCAATATTGGAGTTCTTATGAGTTACCAAAACTCTCCCCCTGCAGAAAATAAAGTGGACATTTTTACAACCCGTTATGCAAAAGTACTAAATCATAGAAAACATGTATGCCACAACCATACCTATTTGAACCGGAAAAAGCTTGATCAACCTGAGCCTTATCATCATCAGTGAGTGGAACAAAAGGTTCCGTAATCACATCCTGCAAGTCAAGAAACTAGTAACCTAAACACAAACGTTGAATGCTCAATCAAGACATGACAAAAAATGAAACTTTAGGAACCATACCTCAATCACCTCCTCCCGTTTCCGAAACAATTGATGTCTTTGGCGACGTTTCTCGTGTAGTTCAATCTGGAAATTTAACCTCCTGATATTGCAGTCATATCTCTTCTCCATATTACCAAGCAACTTCTTGTATGCAGGGAGCCCCAAGTTCTCGAATTCATGGTGGGTTGATATCAAATCGGAAGTCTTGGATTGATTATAAACATTCATACTTGCATCGTTCAATTCTGTAGCCAATGAACCACTCCGTGGGTGAATTGCTCTCTCCACATCATTCTTTACATAATTGTCTAACATTTCAACATCCCCGTGACAATCCTTTGGAGGAGAAACAATACTAACCTTTTCCACAACTTCAACATCCTTCATAAACCAATCCCGGGAAACACTATCCTCCCTAACATCAATATCAATCTCAATAACCTCATTCACATGTGCCCCATGCCTCGAGCCATCTTTCTCACTCCGCTTCGCCTTCCCAAACAGTCTAGCAATTAAATTCCCCATTTCACTGCCACACTTCTCCCTAAAATCACCACTGGTCGAAGAATCCCTAGACTTCTCAGAATGCCCGAACCTGACCCTTCTGCAAGGAGCGTGTACTTCTCTTTTGATGGGGGCAACAGCTTCAGGGTACCGATAAAACCTCGAAACTACAGACTTTCCGCTGAGATGTGGGTGCGAAGCAGGACTGGAAGTCGAAAGCCTGGGCCTTTTCAAAACCTGATCGATATTTAGAGACCCGTTTCTAGAATTCACCGCGAAATAATCCTCGCCGCGCTTCCGATTAACTGTCAACGCTCCCATCTCCGAGAACTCGACGGAACCCTAGAACGAATCGCTCTCTATACAGAAAGCGCCACACTTCTCCCGCCAAAATTGCATCAAATTCTTGTTGGAAATCGCAAAAAAACAACTGAAGGAGAGATTCGAAAAGGCTGAAACTTTCAGGAATCCGCAGCACAATCACACCAATTTAAGGAGCATTTGAGCGCCGAAATTGCATGTTCAGATCTGGATTTGGGTTGTCTCCCTCGATTTGGCTACATGTAAAATTATGTCTCTTCCAAATCTATCATATTTGGATTTTGTGAACTCCAATAAAAAAAATTATTATTTTTTTAAACAAAAAATTTACTATTTGTCTCTTCGAAATCTACATATTTGGTCACAAATCTCACAAATTTTCTATTTATAAATTTCAATAAAAAATAAATTATTTTAAAATAATTTTAAAATGAGAATTTAAAGCATAAATGGTGAATTTATGAATTTTGTAACTAATTTTGTTTGTTAATCTAGCATTACTGATTATTATTTAGATGTAAATAAATAAATTGATAATGACACAGTGACACTCCACATTTGCTACTTTTGTTGACATTCCACACCTTTTTCTTTTTTCAAATGACAATAATACCCTTCTAAGATATAAAAAAAGTAAAGTAGTACTCTTTTTTATTTAGAAATAAAAAAAAGTAAAATAAAAAAATAAATTGAAAATCAAAAGAAAAATTAAGAAAAAACCAGAAAAATGTTTAAATAAATAAAAAATTTGTATATACATATATACCATGAATTTGACATTTTATGATTATTCTTATTACTATAATGTTAGTAATTGTTAAGAAAATTATTTGATAGGATTTATTTCATTATGACAAAAGAGCTCATTCTCTCTATGTGGTGTTGGGTCCCTGTTTTTTCAAGGACCGTCATACATGCAGTCGGTGTAGAGTATGTTAAGTGATGTTAGGAAGTGTGAAATCGGAGCAGACCTCGTTCTAAATTTGGAGTGAGTAGAGTAGAGAATTCTAGATATTCTAAGAGGCATCAACATATGTAAAAATTGAAGAATACAAACCATGTCTAAAAGTAAGGTAAATTGAAAATGATTAGTAGCTCAATAATTTTTTAAAAAAATGTCATAGCCCCTAAAAAATATCTCCAAAAATTTGAACAAACCAAAATAAGAGTTAATCTCATAAATGATCCCTAATTAAGATATTTTTTTATATTTAGTCCTTAATTCTAAGATATTATATAAATGGTCCTCAGGTTTTGAAAATTTTCTTATAATCATTCCTTCAATGAATATATGTGAAAACTAAAAAAATATTTTGTTATATTTTGTCAAAATGACTTTTTATGGAATAATTTTCAAAAATTAAAGATAATTTATGTAATATTTTTGAATTGATTATGAAATATGAAAAATCACCTATAATTAGATATCATTTATGGAATTTATTTCTAAACTAATACTATAAAAAAGAAACATGATAATAAAATTATAAAAAATATTGAGGATATGGGTCATTAAAAAAAGAATCAATAATAAGGGCAAGGATATCGTTGTCATTTTTAAACAAAAAGGATGGATGTGGAAGGCCATTAATCAAAGTGGAGTGCCATTTCTCCTTGTAAAGAAAGTTCAAAAGTTAGAGACAAAAACATACAAAAGTCATAAATTTACTATTTGGAAAATCACACAAAAAAAAAGATCTCAAATAATTTAAAAATGAAAGTTTCATTTTAATATGGTAAATTTGTAACTTTTATGTCTTTTTTTGTTTGTGACTTTAACATTTTTTAATTATTGGCATATTTAGTTTTTTAAGCATTCGATAAAAGTGACTATCAATATAACAAGGAAAAAAGTTACATCGATACTTCCAAATTTCATTGATTGTATAATATTAATCTCTAATTTTTGCATGTTAATACTACTAGAAAATCAACTTCAAACTTAATTACGTAAAATTATTTTAAATGATATGACATAAAATAATATTGAGCTTCTTTGTAGGTCTACAAATATAATCTTGATGGCTATTTTAGATGATATGACATCAGAAACTATTTTGGATGATATGACATCAATAATAAGAATATTATTCTTGTGATTTATCTCATCGCTCCATATTCTTATATAATATCTCTCTACCGGCTTATATCAGTCATCCTTCCATTTGTTACCATGGTTGCCACCGGAAGGCAGAACTACATCGACACCACTCTCGCCACAAAAGGAGACTAATAAAGCTTGTGGGTAGCATTAACCCACCACTCAAGTCGTCCCACTGACCGAAGATCCTCACCAAATGATGGCGGGGTTGGGAGTTACACCTCAACAAGTTTAAATTTTTGTTGTCCTTATCGTCGCTCTTACGATAAGGGAATGCGGGAGCTCCCTTGCATCTGGACCAACCACGGATCCACAAACCGTCGTTGTAGTTGATGGGGTCTCCTTTCGCATGAAGGCTATCCGAAGGAGTCACAAAAAGATGTTTCCCGAGGCTCCCATGGATGAGAACCATGTGAAGNCCCCCCCCCAACTATTGAGGCGATTGACGACATGGTGAGCAAGAAGCAATAGGGTTTAACCTCTGAGCAATTGGAAGGACTAGGTTAAGAGTGCTTGACTTAGTCGGTAGACCTCTACGAATGTCTTAGCAAGAAGGGACTAAGGTAAATCAATCGCACCGAAACATCAAGAATGATGTCATCGCCCGCGAAAAGGAACCTAAAGATTTATAGCCAAAGCATAGGTGACATTAGTCCATTTATATGCACTTATCTACTCATAAATTATGAGTAGAAGTTTTGTGTTAATGTTCAGTTTCAGTATTATTCTTAATATTCTTCTTATGTTGATGCTCACTTTAATTAGGCAATCTTTGTGTAGTATGGTTATGTGTTCTCATTTTGGACAAAAGGATTACCTACCAAGAACACACCTATGTGGTTTTTGCATTCTAATTTCACATTTTGGATACAATCACTGAATAAAATAGGTACAAAACTCATTCATTAGAACTCGTTTTGGTTTCTCTTTTTATTCACTCTCACCTCAGTATTCAAAAGAAAAATGTGGGTAAGAAATGAAACAATGAAAATGTTAAGACGAACCCACAAACTAGTCCTGAAAAAGTTGAACTGATCAAAATTCAGCTAAAGATCTAATCTGCAATGAACTTAAATGTGTGGTTTAAACTCCAGATGATCTATGTGAGTATTCTTGAACCAATGACCCAAACAATGAAGGTCGCTCCAGCAACTTCGCCGGAGCCTCAAATTCTTTTACCCGCCCTACAAACAAAGCAAAAGTGTTAGCATAAGCCTCGCTTAACTCTTTTTTTTTTACTCTTACACCATTAATTTGGCGTAAGATTGTGACACCAACTCAATTGACACTCTTATGGTGCTCCGATCATAAAATTGACGGTTCCTGTCCGCTAACCTCTCGGTAAACCCCTTAACCCAGCCCGTTACTAACGCACCCTCGCACTCCCTCTGATTGCATCACCTAAATTTTATTGACTTTTCGCATCAAATTTTTTACCAAATTTTGGGTGGTGCAATTGGAGGGGTGCGAGGGTGCGTTAGGGACACGCTGGGCTGGTGGGTTTACCGAGGGATTAGAGGGTAGGAACCCTCACCGTAGAGGCGCCAATTGAGTTGGTGTCACAGTCTTACACCAAATCAATAGTGTAAGATTACCCCCTTTCAAATCGTTTTATATTTAACCGAGTAAGATAGATCCTCTACAAACACAAACTCACCGTTGTCTATGACCAGCACGCGGTCACAGTCGATAACGGTGGGGATTCTATGTGCAATGGTGACGACGGTGCAGTCGGAGAAGTCCTCATGTATCACCCTTTGAATGACAGCGTCGGTTTGCGAATCAACGGAAGCTGTTGCTTCGTCCATGAACAGAATCCTGCTGTTCTTTAGCATCACTCTCCCTAAGCAGAGAAGTTGCCTTTGCCCCACACTCCAATTGTCGCCCGAATAAGCCACTGATCAAATTTAGAGCCAATGGTTTTAAATTTGAATACATCTGAACAAGAGTTTAACACTATGTTTTGTTCAAGGAATTGGGAGGATGGAAAAGACAAGAAATTGTAATGTAGAATGAATTGTGATTTTCCTTCCATTTTTGTGAGAAAAGGGAGAGAAAACACGACTATTCCTTTCCCCTCCCTCGTTCTCCACCCCATCCCACACCTACCCCCATACCCGCCCTCCAATCATTTTTCAAAAATGTCTTGCTTCTTTTTCTCTACAATAAACAAATAAATAAATCATCGAAAAGTAAATTATTCACCAATTTTCCTACTAATAACAAAAGTTAAGATGTTTTTATTCTTGGACTTTCTTTCTTTTCTTTTCTTTTCTTCAGCATTTTTTTTTTCCAAATTCCCCAAACCAAACATAGTGTAAAAGAAAGGTGGGAAAAGATACACAATTACCTGGAGCGTCAAGTTGTCCCGGCTTCTCAGAAACCACTTCTTTCAATTGACACCGCTCAAGACTCTAAAATGGAAACAAGAATATAGTAAAAGATTGCATTTTCAACCTATTTGCATTAACTGCTAATGCATTGGGTGCTAACTCAAGTTCTACACCGGGTTTAGACAATGAGAGATGAACTAAAAGCATAGCTTGATTCCATCAGTATCAGTTCTTTTGAGGTCTTTTGAGAGATGTTAAAGAATACTAATGTGGGGTTAGAGTGACAACAAATAGGCTTAGCATAACGGAACTGATAAGCTCAATTTGAAAGGAGGACCAATCCAAGATCTTATACCACTTCATTCGCTCCAAAAAACTCTTCGCACTTTTTATTGCAGCTCAACTTATTTTTGTAAACCCATTTTCATTCATTTTATGGACAAAATATTACTCTGTATAATAAAATCATCTCTTTTTTTATACTCCGTATATAAACAATGAACATAAATTTATTTTTTTTTTAATATCAATTTTGAAATGGATTGAATAAATAATGAATTTAGTCAAACATCGTGACTCAAAATAAACACATTAAGAAGAAATCTAACTAAATAAGATTAAAGCATAGAACTTATACCAAAATAAAACCCTCTCTATTTTTTTTAATCCCAGAGAAAACCACCAAAATCGGTGTGGTGAGACTGGGGAACCTCACCCAATTTATTGAAGAAAGAGCAAGTTTGTACAAATATTGGGGTGGATAAAACCCTCTCTATTTTTATCCCTCAAATATGAGTTTTAGCAACGTCACAATTTGGCATTGCCTGTTCCCAATTCACAGTATTTTTTTGGCATTATGTGTTGCATTATTTGGCAATATAGATCATAGTTTAGTATAAAAATTCTGAAGATCCTATTTTTTTCATATATACCATATTTTTCTCCATATGTTCAGACCAAACCACATCAAATTTGACACAGTGTTTCAGAGACACATACAGACATTCAAAGTACCACAAACAATCTTTGTCTATAAGAAAGACAAGTACGTTAGAACTTAGAATAAAATACCTTCCAAATCTGATGGTCGGAGTACAAGCCGAGGGGATCAATGTTGCTTCTGACAGTGCCTTCGAAAAGAACAGGCTCCTGAGGAATGATCCCAAACCGAGACCTCAAATCGTGAAGCCCTAATTTTGAAATGTCGATGCTGTCTATTACAATTTTGCCTCCCGCCGGCTCCACCAGCCGGAAAAATACTTGTATCAGAGTCGACTTCCCGCTCCCCGTCCTCCCGACGATGCCGATCTTCTCGCCGCCATTGATGCCCAGGGATATTCCTTTCAGAACTAGAGGACTATTGTCCCTGTACCTCACCTGCTCAAATTTTCATATGCCATGCATAATCAATCCCCTTTATCAAACAATAAAAATATTGCTAAAGTCACAAATAATTTGGGCATACATTAAATAAATTTACCATTTGTACATTTTTTCAGGTGAATATAATGATTTTAGGTAATTGAAAAATAAAAAATTAAATACAGAAATTGCAAGTTTGTGTAGTTTCCAAATTATTTCTGACTCTACCATTAATCGAAACAAAAGATATTTTCTAAAAAGTGAAAAATGTTTATTTTGAACCTTATTCAACAAAAAGTAAGTCTAAAACGACATTAGTACTACTGGTGTCATTTGCTTATACTAGATCGTTTAGTGCATCTACGATTTTTCGTTCATGAAATTGATGGTTCATATCTCCCCTATCTCCCCCCTAAACCTCTCACCCGAGCCCCACACCCAGCCCCCTCCCTACCCTGTACTGTTGGGTAGGGAAGAAGGAGGCTGGGTGGGAGTTAGGGAAGGATTGAAAGGTATATGAATGATCATTTTTATGAATTGGACACCGTAGCTGTCCAAATGAACTAGTGTAAATAAATGGTGTATAAGTAACTAGTGTCATTTTAGATATCCTCTTAAAAAATGAAATTTTTGTCAAAGAAAAAAGAAAGGGAATTAAAATTGTCTGCATATTTACTTTGTAAAATTGGTTTGGGGAGACTGATGACACGAGTTTTTCGGTAGACTTTACACATATTTAAATGTAGAAATACTCTTTTTAATAGACTTCTAATTGGAGCAACACAAAAAATACCACTAGTGTGAGAGTATTTTAATTTAAATTGATATTACACATATACCTTCCAGGCCCTACTATAGTAGGATTCAACTGGATTATTATTGTTATTTTATTACACATATACCTTCAAGTGATGTATCTCAATGGTTCCATGATAGGGCCAATTTGGAGGTGGAATAAAACTTGTCTTCCATGGAGCTTCTGGCGAGATCCGTATGAATTGTTTTATTCTTTCAACGGAAACCATACGATTCTCCATAATGCAGCTCGTAAAGGCACATAAGAAGATCACGCCGTTCAATGACAAACCATAAGATAAAGCCATCCCGATATACTCTATTAACAATGTTAATAATATCAATTACAAAACGGAAATTACACAAATAGTTAAAGTTTGTCTAGCAAAGAATTTATCTTTAACGCTTTAAAAACTTTATGTAATAATATTCCATAGTTTCTTAATTTTAACATTTTTAAAGTTAATCAGTACTGTTAAAGAAATGTAAAACACTAACATAAGGAAAACGATCTTCCCAAGGCCTCAGTATCTTATATCTTCTTCAGGGGTTTCAACTTTCAATTTGTTCCATCGTGAAAGGTTAACTCATAGTTGGACTAGCCAAGGCCTTATACACAAATTTGACAAACGAGTCAATCAGTTCAACTCGAGATCTAATTTATTCAATTTAGAATTTCTGGATAGTTTCGTCTAATTTTGTTCATGTGTAGATTAAATTTATTTCTCTAAATTTTGTTGTTCGATTTTATTATTGTTTAATTCAGATATGATTCAATGTATAATCGATTTGAGTAGACAAGCACACATTTTAAGTTCTAACAATTCACTACCCATTTCATGCTTCGATTCACTTTTGATTTCATTCGGTCTGAAAAAAGTTAGAGACACAATGCTTATGATAACACTTTTGATATCATTGTGTCTCAAAGAAAATGTGACACAACAATGTCAAAAGTGGTGTTTCGCAATACATTTGAATACAAATTTGGTTCAAATTATTTCGGGTTTCGATTCGGTTTGATGACATTTAATAAAAAGCAATGCTAGGGGTACACTAAAAGGTGTACCCCAAATGTACACCACCCCATTTTCCACCACACATTTTTATTTGATTTTTATTTACTTATTTTTTTTTAAATTTTTTTACCTTTTTTAGTGGACAAGGAGGGGGTGGGTATATATGGGGTACTTTGGTGTAAGAGAGTATGTAAATGTCACCTGATCCAATTATGTGGGTGGGTATCATGACCATGAACAAGGTGGAGACGCAGAGCAAGAAGCTTCCAATGAACTCGAGCCGAAAGCCAAACCACTCATTAGATCCATTGTTGTGGAAATCCATCCTCAGGTTTGCGTTCACCCTCTCCACGTTCCCCTGGAAGAACGTCTCCTCCTTTCTGAAGCAGCGAATCGTCATCACTCCAGAAATCGTCTCCGAGAAATGGTGGATGATCGGAGCTTTCGTGATCGCGTCCAGCCGGGTAAGCTCTCGTGACGACGAGATGTAATATTTCTGCAATTACGTGAAAGGTGAATTCGATTTTGCTGTTTTTTTTAAATAAAATTCGAAATGAATGGAATCGATTGAAGTAGGGAATTCGATTTGGGAGATTTCATTACCCTGTACCAGAGATTAAGCCAGATGAGAGGGACGAGAAGGAATACAGTGGGCCAAGCGTTCTGGCACATGACGATCAATATGCCGATCACTGTGAAGAGCATCGCCAGTGATGTGCTCATGAACAATGGGATGATGAAATCGACTATGGATTGATCGGTTGATGCCTGAATTGATAGAAATTGTAGAATTATAGATCTCAAAAATTGGAAGGATTGATAACAATGGAACTTAGGGTTTTATATGCTCACTCTACTGAGAATTCTTCCGGAGGGAGTTGTGTCGAAGAAGGACATGGGAGCGTGGAGGATGCTGTCAATGATTTGATTGAACAAGCTCTGGCATGTCTTCAACCCTAAAGCGGCGACAACGAACGATCTGAGAACGACAAGCAGGACCAGAAAGCCTCCAATGGCGGAATATACGATGATGAACAGAGAAGGTTTGAAGCCATCGGGGCTCGAGGTTTCGTACGCGAGCCAATAGTCATTTGCCATCAGTGCCAGTTGCCACAGAAGCGACGAAACCACCACTGCCGCCACTCCCCACCACCCGTACGCCTCCGTGGCGTATTGACGGTAGACGTCGAAGCTCACGTGTCCTGTTTCTCTCTGCTCCTCTTCGACCAGCTTCGAGTTAGGGCCTCCGGGCTGGTCGTCGTTTGGTTCCGGCTGATCGCCGGATTTATGAACCACCGGCGGTGATCTGGGAGGAGACAGTTGGTGCCGTGGCGGCGATTTGGGGAGGCTTTTCTTTGAGGCAGATGCTGTTGTCATTTCCACCAGATCCATGGAATTCTCATGTGCAGCTACCAGAGCTCCGAAATCCATGCCGGATTCTAGAAGCTCCTGGTACTTTCCAGATTGTACGATCATGCCATCTCGCATCACCTGAAAGTGATCCAATGATCATAATAAAATCCAGCTAAAGAGGTGATTCTACAATTTGTACATACCAGTAATTATCAAATCACACTAAAAAGATTGAATTCAATTACTCATTTCTAGATATATGATGATTGAAATACCAGTATAAGATCAGCATTGTGTAGGAAATCAACTTGATGAGTTACGAGGAGTACTGTTTTATCTCTCAAAGCTCCCCTCACACATCCCTGCAAAAAAAGAAAACAAAAAAGAGTACAGTCAATACTTTTGTAGTGGATGAACTGAGAAGATTTTCTAGTCATAATTATATTATCATTGGAGCTTTCTTGACACCCAACCTGTGTCACACCAATCCATTTGATGGTCCTATGGTACTGATTTCGATTCTGAAGTAGTTCTTTAATTCCTTAATTCCTCACAAACCCCCCTAGTCCGCCATGCTCCCAAGCCTCCATGTGGGTCACAAATCACAATCAGTGGCAAAGGCGGGGTTACGTTCCAGGGAGAAACCACTACACTGAAATCATTGCAAGTCGGATGACACTTTTGTCAAATCACTTCAGGATACCTTTGTCCGAATTGCCTCAAGATGGAACGTGCCCTACCATGGCCTCCGCCCTAGGTGACAATGGGCTTTCAAATATTGAGGGGCAGGGGCAGCCGGGCAGCCTAGGGGGTTTGTGAAGGTTAGGGGTATAACCACATTGAAGTCGAATGGAGCATCGTTGGACCTTCAAATGGACGGATGTTACATTATGACACGCACTGTTGGTGTCAAAAGAACCCCACTCTTATATTATATGATGCCACTCCTAACTTATGATCTAAGAAACGTTTTATACTCTAACACGTTCGTGCACTTGTGATTTATTTTTTACTCCATACCAATGTGCAGGAGAGAAAGTGAGTGTACCTTGAAAATTTCAGAGCCAGTATGAGCATCAACCGCACTAAAGACGTCATCAAGAAGATAAACATCAGAGTGCTGATAAACAGCTCTGGCCAGTTGAATTCTCTGCTTCTGTCCGCCACTCAGGTTTATTCCCCTTTCTCCGATCTCTGTTTGGTCGCCTTCTTCCAGAACCTCCAAGTCTTTCTCCAAGGAGCAAACTTGTATGGCTTTCTTGTATCTTTCCCTGTCCATTGGTGAACCAAACAAGATGTTATCTTGAATCGTTGCATTCTGTATCCATGAGGTTTGTGCCACATAAGCTGTACTCCCACACACTCTTACCTGCAATCATATATATGAATGTTTTGAATCACTTTCTTTTCTGTTTTCTTTTCATAAAAAACATTAAATTGCTAAAAACTAGCTTCATTTTGCCTTTGAAATGCCAAAAAAAAAAAAGAAGAAGAAGACTGGTATACACCAAGCATGATCATAAAAAGCCACTTAAACCCTTCATTTTTATAACCCAAACTATTCCCTTTTTAGAACTCTCTTTAAAATTCCCCTCCCCATGTTTTCTTGGGGATCGAAACCGGGTGAGCAACTCCAAAATCACCAAGTTGGTCCTACATCCACTCAACCATAGGGGCTTTTTTTCTTTTTTGTTGGGAAGGAGGGAGTATGTAAATAATTAATGTGTACTTCATACTCAAAGTGTTTATAAGAATGATTCACAGACCTCTCCTGATGATTTATGAAGTTCACCAAGAACCGAAGCTAATAAGGAAGACTTCCCTGATCCCACTGTTCCAACAATGGCTGCAAGCTCCCCCTTCCTAACTTGAAAGTTTATATCTCTCAACACACATTTCTTCTCATCTTCATCATCCTCCCAAGAAAAGTACCCATTTTTCACTTCAACCGCAACTCCACAATTTTCTCCTCCTCCTCTTTGCACAAACTCACTGTCCAACTCCGGGCTTGTCAGATATGCATCAAGCCTAGTGAGTGATGTGAATGCCTGTGCACAAGCGATGAGCGTCTGGGGGAAGGCCCTGATTGGTTCTTGCAGAATCTTGAGCACTGTTGTCGCCGTGAAAACCGTGCCGGGATCAAGTGGGACTCTGAACAGAACTGCCGCCATGAATGTCAGGGCGGCGATGATGTTCGGTATGCTCCATAGGAGCGACAAGTTCATGGCCATCACGTACATGATTTTGCTCAGCCATTTGAACTCCACCCCGCGCAGCGCGCCTATCTTCTTGCTGAAGTGTTCTTCCCATGCTTGGAACTTGATCACGCGCATGTTCGCGAGTAACTCATTTAGGGCTTTCATCCTCGCGTCGCGATTCTGCATCAGATGGAACTGGAAGAGGTTTGACGCGAGGGTGACGAGGAAAGAGAAGACGGTAAGGACAAAAACCGCGCCTAGGGACGCGACGACCGGGATGCCGATGTAGATGTATATGAGGAGCAAGGCAGCCGCGAGTTGCATGGGGGTCATCCACATGGCGTGTATCTGCGGTGCCATGTCAGCGATGATCTGGCAGTCAACCGCCATGTAGTTCACTATCTGTCCTGCACCGTGCGCCTGCCTTGCGGAGCCAGACAGGCGCAGGCCTTTCTTGTACAATGTTGTTATTAAGGAACTGCGGATCATCATCCCGAGTTTCGTGGTGTGGAAATTGAAGTGATGGGAGGTCATGACTTCTACCAGTTTTGCCAACAGAAGGGCCATCACTAGGTAGTAACCTTTGTAAGGGTTCCTTGTCCTGTCCCCAGAAGTGAATTTGACAAAACTGTCTATGAGGAGTGGGCCCACATACATGACGCCCAAACGCGCCACCGCGAGGAAACCCGTGAAGAAAAACTGCTTCCAGAAGCACCTCGCTAGCGCTTTAAATACCGGGTGTTTAGTGGTAGTGGTAATAGTAGTGGCGCCCTGACCCGTGGGTTTGGGCCAATTCTTTTCCAGGAGTTGTCCCATCCGCTCTGCCCGGAGATCGGGTGGAAGGGAAGGGACTTGGTCACTCGTTAGAGGGGACTTATATCCCTGACTCAATAAGGGATTCATCCAATTCCACACCGCCTTTGACAGCAATGAAGCAGTTGCATATCCACTCACGTCAGTGGGACCCACCTCCCGGTTCGCGCCGATGACGACGCCTGTCGATCCACGAAGGGTCAGGACAAAGAGGTATCCACAGAGAGGGAGGGCTCCCAAGAAAACCAAATCATCCACGCTCGTCTTCGAATCCTTTTGGTACCCGAAATGGACAAATCGGATAACCGAAGAGGCAGCAAACAGACACACAACAAAAAAGTCTGCCGCAAAATAAGCCCGAACGGGCACCGGGTGATCGCCCGCCCCATTTCTTTTCTCGAGCGCGACGAGGACGAAAACCACTATATGAGTGAGGGCTTGAAGTGACATAAACATGGCTTCTATGATATCCCATTTGGATTTGACACCTCTGAGGAATGTGAATATGCAAAGATTGGTGTAAGTTAAAGCCAAGAGAGAAGTGACAACCAAAGATAGATAAAACCAAAAGTTGGCTCTGAAGCTGTGTGGCCTCTCAACCCCATTCTCATATGATCTTTTGTTTCTCCTCCTAAATATGAACCTCTTGCATAGCTTTTGGATGGCTAGCATTACTAGGGTGAGCAGGAAGACGAGATCGACGGCTGAAAAGAGGAGTCTTTGGGGACATGGTGACAGGAAAATGAATCTCAGCCATTGGATTGAGAGGGTGAGAAAGGATGAGGAGTGTTTGGAAGAGTCAATAATTGCAGAAGATGAACACTCAAGAGAAGAGAGCCATGGAGGAGAAGACATGATTGAAGCCCAAACTGAATCTCCTGTACCAAAAAGACAATATTGGTGTCAAATGAAGAAGAAAAACTCCATCTTTCTCAGTTCAAGAAAATCAAGAACTTCAAGAAAAGACTCTGATAGTGCAGATTCTACACCAACTTCCTATGCAGATAAGTCATCTCTGAAGCTGTTAAATACTCCTTTTTTCCCCAGATTTTGTGGTACACTTTCCAAAATATCCCAAATTTAAGGAGCATCAGTAAAATAAAATTTAAAAAAATCTTGAAATTAGTTCTTTAGGGGTGTTTTTGACCATTCAGAATCAATTGTGT